GACTTGGGTGATGAGAATCTTTCCTTATTTGGTAAATTTAGACATTACCACAAATGAAGGAATCAATTTCATATTTCCACTCTTGCTATTAATGGAATCATATAAGCAACAAATTTTCCTCAAATGCCATTGTAAGGATATTTTAAAATAAATAAAATCAAAAAATTTCTTTTATTTTAAAACTATGCGGAAAAACTTATCCTTACAATCCATATGAAAACTTTTTGTTATCTATTCCTAACAATACCTCATAACTGCTAATAAGTAGCTCAAGAATCTGATCTTCAAACTACGCGATAGAAATCCATCTATGCGATCAGATTCAGCATATTCTTTCTTTAAGTTCCTTCACTTTTCTTTAATTCTTAAAACATCAACATGTGACCCAGTCACATCATGTAATAAGAATATCAGAATAGAAACTTAGCAGAGTTAGATAGTGGACTTTACCTGAAGTAGAGTCAAACTTATTAACTTTAACATCCTTAGGTAAATTTGGCAGCTTCGCAACTAATGACCCTTTCTTTGGCAATATAAACATATGGAGCCTTTGATAATGGTACACGGGACTATCACAGACTTAGATTTTCTCTTTACCATTTGTTCAACCAAGTTGACTATGGTCGATCCCTTTCCATTGGGAAGAGAATGCTTTTCTGGATTTCCTATGTCACTATTGTCAATATCCATCAAGTTTTGAGGAAGTTGATCTTAACAAATATATAAGATCATTAAGGGTCTTGTCATAGTCTGTTTCATAGGTGTTCCAAAAGAACTCACTATGTGACTTAGAAAGTGATTGAACCACCAACTTTCTCAAGACTTTGACACCCAACTCTCCCGGCTTGTCAATATGTGACTACATCTCCAAGATGTGACCACACCTAGACCTTCACTTGCCAATAGGGTTCGAGTGACCTTAAACTTTTTAAGAACTTGTGGGGTAGGGAGAATAATTGGAGGAGGTGGAAGAAGTATGATTTCCATGGAACATCATCTTCATTTAGGAAAGCTTGTTTCAAGAGATTTGGGAAGATCATAAATGTCTAAACCAGACATGTTTTGGGAGATATTCAAGATAGTTGATCTTAAAGTCCTTAATATGACACCCAATATGAAATATTAAGGCTAGGACCCAACAAACTATTTTATAACTTAGAAGAGGTATGCCGTAATCCAAGCTATAAAACAATTTGAAGGTAGGTGAATGACGATTCACCAATTTCCACCAAGATAAACGAAATGTATTATTAGGTTTTAATTGTTTTTGAAACTCCTAGATCTTTTGAGATTCATTGAACTGTTCAATGGCATGTTTCAATCTCGAGTGTGCCCTTCAGGTTTTGTGACTAGGATGCCGAGGATCACAAAACAAGGTGTGAAGTAACCATGAAAATTACTTGGTACCCTTAAGTGTTTACCCCTCAATCGATGTGCCGGTTAACCACACACGCTCCATCGATACTATGATAAACATTAAGTTACCCTTTGCCTACCTTGTTAAATACGAGTTAGTGTGCCGGTTAACCACACACGCTTCACTAACCGACTTAAACAAAGTGCAAAGTGTAATTTCATGGATTAGCACCTTATTCACATTTTCCTAAGTAACTAAGATTGGGTATTATTAAGAGTTTAGTTACTTAGTATTTATCATTAATACTTTTAATGAAGGGAGAATTATAGTCCTGTCAAACCCGTTCGGCTAACGACCCTCCACCAGTCAAGCAAGTGGTGGGTGAGAGTGGACACCCATTAAGTTGTCATTTTATAGGCAACAACCTTATACCCACCTTATAGACCGGCTTCGTGAATGAGGCCTACTAACGGTAAGACTGACTTTACTTTTATACATATATATAAATATTATTAACTTATAATATTATAAAGTATAAGGGTTGAATTTTAACTTTTAAAATTCTAAGGTCTAGTTTGGAATTAAAGTATACATGGGGGGTAACTTTACAAATTCCAAAACTTGAGGACAAGTTTTGAAACCTTTCAAAACTCTTGGCTTTTTCATAACTTATGAGTTCAATTTAGGTTTAATGAAAAAAAATTCAAGTTCCATAACTTGAGGACAAGTTATGGAAGACATTAAATCATTTAATGATGACATTAAAAATAGAGACTCTTCTATTTTCATAACCTATGAGACTTAATGTCACTATAAAAAAAAACTCTCCACTTTCCATAACTTGAGGACAAGTTATGGAATTCATAAAAACCATTAAGATCAAATATTCCAATTAACACAATAACCAAATAATTTTTCTATGATCTAGATTAAACTCATAAGTAAAGATAATTCACATCAATAATTTTCAAGAAATTAGATAATCATATAAACTAATACAAATCTTGAAACTTTGACAATTATCCTTTGAAGACTCTTAGACTTCATAACATAAAGAGTTAATAAATGAGACATTTCACATCCATAACTTATGGAAGTTTCAAAACTCTTAAGATGATAACTTTAAAAAAAACTTTTGAGTTCCAAAATTTTATGACACAATTTGTAACTCCTTAAAACCACTTAGATCAAACTTAAAAAAATAAAATAATCATATCATTCTATCTTTTAATAAATTGACCTAGTTCAACTCTTGTAGTAAAGTGACTCAAATTTTACAAATAATTAGTTTTTCATAAAATCAAGTAATTATCATAAAATTTGACAAACTTCATGTTTTTTTTTTCTTTTTTTTTCATCAACTTGAAAAAAATACATTTGCATCAAATATAGTAGAAAACAACCCATGGCTCTGATACCACTGTTGGGTTTTGGTATAATACAACATCCTATGGTGCACATACAACCCTAAATACCTTGGATCTATGTTTTCACTAATTATACATGCAAATGGTTTCCAAGGCATTAAACCTATAACTAGCATGCATTTGACAAAAAACCATATAATATACTAGTTAGGGAAACATACATTTTATGTGGCTTGAAGTCTTGATGTATTTGGCCTTAAGAGCTTAGCACCAATAGTATGAAATGCCTCAAATGGAATCACAACACACCTAGAACAAAGGTGGCTCTTGAGAGAGAATTCCATGCACCAAAACACCTCCATATTTCTCTAAGAAAAGAAGTGGTGATTTTGGCTATGGAGTAACCTATTTATATGTAGGATTCCAAGGGTCATGGGTATCACCCATAGTCCATACCCATGGGTTTTATGATCCATGGTTCATGTGGCCCAACTCTTTATGTATCCATACATAAAATTGGTCCAACATGGATCATAAGCCCAACACATATAAATATAACTAATTATCACAATTAGTCCCCATAGATTTAATTAGTCTCTTTTGACCTCTAAATTAATTCCAAATTAATTCTTGATCAATACTAATTAAAACATATGATTTCATGTTAATATATTATAACTTATAATATATTAATAAAGCATAATTAACCTTCTCTCAAAAGTCCATCCTAACAAATTGTCGTGATGATATGCAACCCAAATGGACCATGCTACTCTCGGGTCGAATACATACCAATAATAGTTATGGGCTTAGACACCTAATCCAACAATAGCATCATCAACTTTCGGCTTTAACGCACTTCCTCCAATATCAGCAGATTTACTAATCACTATTCCTTTCGGTTTCGTAATTGGAATAGTTGTTACAATTTTTGAGGTGATTGGACCAACTGTTGCCATGAATGGTTTTGTTGTTGGTATTTTCTAAGAGAATAACTTCCATACCACTTGTACCCCTGTGCTAGCAGTTGGGGCATAAGTAGTTGGAAGGAGATTGGAGATGCGTGACAAAGGAGCTAGTTGTTGGATAAGTAACTCTTCAAATTTAGAAAATTTATGGATCAGATCTTCTGAAGATAGCACAGACGTAGTAGACTTGGAAGATAGACTTTTAATCTCTTTCAAAAGTTCAAACACCTACAGGAAATTTTTGTTGTCATTGGTTGAAAGCTGAGATATCTGAGGGCTCAGACTTTCGTATAGCTTTGAAAACTTCGTTACTACCTCACAAATGTCCACTTTCTTGTTGATGGAATCAAACTCCGTTCGAACAACGTAAATTTCTTTCTCCATATCTTCTCGTAACTCCTGAAGTTTGATATTTACATCTTCTCTCACCTTCTTTACATCCTGGACAAACATCACATGCCTCTCTTTTGCAACTGTCTTCAAATCTTTTAAGTCAGATGCAAATCCAGAATTCTGAGAATTCACTCTTAATTCATTATTTTGATCGGAATGATCAATCTTCTCCAATAACCTAGACTCTGAATCTTTCAACATTACAGAGACTTTTGTTGTTAATCTCCTTTCAAGTAAGGACAGCATGCTATCAACTTCAAGACTAGATACATAATGACCTCCCCCAAGATCAACTTGTGATTGAATAATAGATTTAAGCTTCATATTAAAGATTTTGAATTGTTTCATCGTCATGAGCATATGATCCGGGAAGTCAGTTTCCTCCTCATCAAATTCTAGATTCTCAAAAGTTCCCCCAAAACCTTCATATTCATTTTTAGTATCCATGAAGTAATCTTTTATTGGAGAAGTAGTGGTTTGTGGATTAGATGATTGTGAAGGAAAAAGAGTGGTAAAAGGTTGTGAAATAATGTTTGCAAAAGTTGTAGAATCTGTTGTGGATGTTGTAGGAATGATAGGGGTAATCTGTGAAGGTAAAGAAATGAAATAATCTTAAACCACATTCGGAGGGTTACCTTTTGTTGCTTTATTCGAATCATCCTCAGCCATGATGACATTTGTATCCATATCATATATGTTTATAGGGATGCCTGAAGTTCAAGCCTCCACAGTAACTATCTTGGCAATCGAAACTTTGGGTGGTGTAAGAACAGATGTATCCAGTTGAGAAGAAATTTAAAGTAAATCTGCCTTAGGTGTCTCAGGAATAGTTTCACCCTCATATGTAGTAGATTCTGAGGTAAGAATCACCCTTCGCTTCTTCTTTGAGAGTTGTTTTGCCATATCAGCAGCCAATCACTTTTTCGAAGAAGGAGAAGCAGGGGCAGGTATTTGTCTAAAAATCACCCCTTTATGAGAAACTTGGGGTATACGAACAACATTCGTACTAGATGATCGACGCTTGTTCTTCAACTTCATCTTGATTCGTCTAAATACACCAGTCTTCGAAGGAATGACTTCCTTTTTAGTTACCTGGGTATCAGAAATAATAGGATCCGGCTGAATTGGCTCAGGTTCGATCACAGGAACGTGCTTCGTACTCTTTGATGACTTAACCTTTGTACCTGAAGACCCATCATTAGTCTTCTTCGCCTTCTTTGACTTCTTTTCAGTTGTCTGTCGTAAGAGAATCCCAATTTCCACAGAAGTATCTATGGATTCTAAGTAAGAAACCAAGACTGGGTTTGAAGGATCAATTCTTTTTAACATGGTGTCAGGGATACGAGCAGCAAACAGAAATACATCTAAATCATCTGTTGCATCCTTCAGACAACTATAAGTGTGAAACACAGCCTTCTCCTCTTCCGCTGGAACTAAAATACCTTATTTTTCATAGAAATGCTGCAAAATTAGACTCCAATATCGAGCACACGAAATGCCTTGAATAGCATTCGTGTTTTCGATACTCTTCTGAAACTCCTTCCACAGTTGTGTTGAGTAATCAACCTGAAGATCATAGTACATCCCAGCAACCATGGTGTACACCTCCATTCTTCCCTTATCCAGCCCAACCGTTCTGCCAGTTAAACACCGAAGAAAAATCCCAAACAGAAAATTTCATACACTTGGTAACCATGACTTCTTGAAGTCACTAATCTTTTTCAATTGGGGTTGATGACCCATTTCATTGAACATGTGTACGGTTTTTGGAAAGGTAAAAGTAACATATGGTGGTGAATTCGGTATGGCAAGGATTTGGCAAAAAGGCTTCTTTGATAACCCAACCTTTTTATCATTGATGAGGTTGAATGTAACAGCTTCCAAACCTTTTGAATAGGTTGCAGTTGAACCGGCTTGAGATAACCAAGAAAGAGGAACAGAGAATGAGTTAAACATGGCCTTTGATATTACCGAGTTTTGCAGAGCAACCACCAGCATTTTCAATTATTCAGAATATAGAGAAACATTTGATTCAACCTGGTAATTAGTACCCTGAATCTTCATGATCGACAGAGAAGTAACATCATCAGTTGTGTGAGAAAGAGTAGCATCAGGATTTGCAGTCGCCATTTTAGGGTTTGAAAGCAGATGATTATCAGAGAAAATTTAGTAAGATGAAAGCGTAAATTGATAATAAACCCTTGAATCCCCTTTTATATGTAACTCTTCAATTTGAAATCAAAGTGGGATATGCATTTAATGCTTGCTGATATGTCATCGAGAAAAGCGCATCACGATGATGATAAAGTAACCATGCGTCAAAAACTAATTGTCACATCACCTTGAAAACTGGAAGTAATATAAAACGTCTCCTCAAACAGCCTGTATTTATTAACCCAATGGAATTGTAACCGTTAGAACCCTTCGGATGGAAGTTAGGCTCTTTCACTTTTGGGATGAAAAGCGAAGTCATATGCCATATGTTTGAAATCATCAGCCTGAGTTGGTGTTACTCAAAACCTCAAGGATTTCATGAGTGCAGTGGGTCAACATAATAAAGATAAGAAGAAAAGTAAAACAAAAATTTTGGATATGTAGTGATGTCAAACCTACAATTTGACACAAAGGCAGATAAAATCCCGGGCAAAGATTGCTTCGTTAATTGTCAAGAGAGATACTCAACAACTTGTGTAGTTTCCCGTGAATTACAATCGAATACTTGTAAATAAGTATCGAAGGGCTTCTTTTTCAAGGTTTCAATGGGTGGCTTAATAAATTTTGTTACATATCAGCCTTAACATAAGGTGAGTAATTGTAACAGAAATTACTTGTTTGACCAGTGTAGTCAGTAACAAGTGTGCTTTGAAAAAATATTGAATGTAACTTTGAGATTCGAAGTAAACTCACACGGAAATCATATTCATAAATTTTTTTTGTCCTGGATCTTGTTGGGTAACAAACACCGTGGGTTTCGAATGTTTGATCAAGATCACTCATTTGAAATGAATATGATTTGGACTTTCGAAAATAGGTACTAAAACAAAAGTTTCGTAAAGTCTGGAACATGGTTCCCCATCAATTCCTTAATTTGCAAGAAATTTGGGTTTCACTTTCATCACAATCTCATGATGTCAGATCATTAACACAAATTGTTGATATGTCTAAGTCTCGATTGGTTTGATCAGAAACCTCTTGGACATATGTCTTCGTGTGTGATCGTGAAAGAAATTTTAGATGAAAAAGATTGGTGAAGATCTGAAGTGTACCTCTGTTATATTTGGACCAAATAGAAAACTCTTAACTCATGTGAGAAGAGTAAGGTAGCTCATTGGACAAATGTGAATATAAGCCTTATTAGGTAGAAATCTTCGTATGAAAAGTTCATTAAGGCTTTCGTACACACACATTGAGTCATTGGAGGCTTTGGATAACATGCAGCAGCATGCTTCTAGGGACATCTTAACTAGTTTTTATTTTTAAATTAATTCGAAGATTAGAAATTTATACCTGACCCTAGAATCTGCAAACAATTGCCTTTTCACATCTTCAATAATAGCTACAACAAAGTACTCAAAAGAAAGAAGAAATAAAATCTTTTTGTTGTTTTTGATTTTTCGAAAATAAAGAACAAAACAAAACGAAAACATTTTTGATGTTTTTGATTTTTCGAAAATAAAGAACAAAACAAATTAAATGAAACTACTTGTTGTAAACCTTCGAAGTTTTAAAATGTGATGAAAAATACCAATCATACGAATTCGAAGCATACGAAGAGTGACTTATGAACAATAACCTTATCTGTTGATGACGTGTTGGTGAATTATCATTATCGAACCTTCAATCTCCTTTTTCGTATGAAGTTGAATTACCATCAACCATTCCAAGCCCTTCCAGAATCCTCAGAAACGATTTTTCATCCAATGTTTTTGTGAAAATATCAGCCAACTGATCAGTTGTTTTCACAAAATGAACTTCAATATTCTCATCCTCTACATGATCTTTTATGAAGTGATAATGAAGAGCAATGTATTTGGTCTTCTAATGCTGCACAGGATTATGACAAATTCTTATTGCACTTTGTGAATCTCAATATAAAGGAATCTTTTTCATATTAATTGCATAGTAACATAATTGACTTTGAATCCAAATTATTTGTGAAGTGCATGCAACAGCAGCAACATATTCAGCTTCAGTCGTTGACATAGAAACACATGTCTGCTTTTTCGAATTCCAGCTTACCAACTTCCCATCAAGCAATTGATAACCACCACTTGTGCTCTTCCTATCAAGATTACATCCTCCCAAATCTACATCTGAATAAGCTTGAATAAAGAACCCAATATTCTAAGGATACCACAATCCTAACGAAACAGTTCCTTTAATATAGCGAAAGATGTTCTTCACAGCATTAAGATGTGTTTCTCGAGGATTTAACTGATACCTAGCACAGTTACACATAGAAAACATGATATCAAGTCTACTTGTTGTTAAGTAAAGTAAAGATACAATCATGCTCCTGTATAGAGTTAGGTCAACAGATGGTTTATCTAACGAAGGAGTTAGTTTTATGTCGGTTGCCATTGGTACTCGTAACTTTGTGCTATTCATCATCCCAAACTTTTCCGGTAAGTTCTTCATATATTTCTCTTGATTTATAAAAATACCTTCTCTATTCAGAAGAATGTTTAAACCAAGAAAATTGTTAATTTTACCCATCATGCTCATTTCGAATTTGCTCTTCATCAAGTCTTCGAATTCTTTAGACAAAACAGGGTCAGTTGAGCCAAAAATAATGTCATCAACATAAATTTGAACAAGCATTAGATGATTCCCAACTTTCTTACAAAATAATGTGGGGTCAACTAATCCTTGTTTAAATTTAGATTGCTTCAGAAACGAAGTAAGAGGTGCATACCAGGCTCGTGGAGCTTGTTTTAACCCATAAACTGCCTTATCTAAGATATAAACATAATCAGGATGTTCTTCGTTTACAAAACTTGGAGGTTGTTCCACATAAACTGTTTCTTCGAGTTCTCCATTTAGAAATGCACATTTCACATCTATTTGATATACATCAAAATCTTTGTGAACAGGGGAAAAAGTTTCTTCGTAATCAATTCCTTCTTGTTGAGAATGTCCTTTAACAACAAGCCTGGCTTTGTTTCGAGCAATATCTCCATCTTTGTCGATTTTATTTATGAAAATCCATTTTAATCCGACAATCGAAACATCATTTGGCTTAGGAATTAACCTCCAATCTTTATTTTGTTCAAATTTAGACAATTCAGATTGCATCGCAACAATCCAATCTGAGTGTTCCATTGCAATCTTAACTGTTTTTGGTTCAATTTTTGAGATAAAAACGTTGAACATGAAAAATTCTTGATGAACATTTAATACCTCATTCTTCGCATGAATTTGAGCTCTTGTTAAAACTCCTTCTTGTGGATTACCAATTATTTGCCCCTTCGGATGATCTTTTGTCCATTTGTCCATTGGTGGATAGGCTGGATCGAATTCCAAAGGTGCATCTTCGTACATTTCTTCGTTTTCAGATTATACAATCGAACAAACATCATTAATATCATGATAATTTTCATCATTTTGATTTAACTCCCCTTCAATATTATCATTTAACTGCTAACCCTCAACATCATCATTTTCTCTCTCATTCTCCCCCTCGAAAGAATGCTCCCCCTCAATTAGAGTGTTCGACTCCAAGTGCTTCCCCTCCAATAGATCATTATGCATACTTTCGTCCATTTCTTGAGGAGTTGATGTTGATTCCTCAGTAAACTTTGCAAGTCCTGGTATGTGATTATCAGGAGCATGAATTTCTGCATCTACTACATGATCTGATATTCCAAAAATCAAATCATAATCAATATCATTCATTTGTAAAGATTCATCTTCAACTTGTGTTTCTTGTAAAATTGGATGATTTGCAAATGTATGCTCATTTTGTTTAACATAGTAATCATCGAATGTGATATTGAATGCTTCTTCCACTTTTCAAGTTTGTTTGTTGAGCACATGATAGGCAACTGAATTATGTGAATATCCAAGGAAAATCCCTTCATCAGCTTTCGCTTGAAATTTCAAAAGATTATCCTTAAGATTCATAATAAAGCACCTGCATCCGAAAACATGGAAAAATTTCACATTAGGTTTTCCGTTATTGATGATTTCATAAGGAGTAATATTAAAACGACGATGGATGAAAGATCTATTCTGAGTAAAACATGCAGTGAATATTGCTTCAGCCCAAAGATATTGTGGAAGATTCTCATAGGCCAACATTGTTCTTGCAGCTTCGCATAAAGATTGAT